GAGTAAAGCCGGCATACATAAAGTTTTAAAAGCATCATTTTCGACGTTGAGGTTAAGCTCATAACTAAAGTTTTTCAGCATATGAGCAAGAATAAAGTTACTGTCATTTTCCTGCGTGCCGCGCAATGACCGTATACTGTTATGCCATAGCTTACTACACAATAAGCCAAAGCATGTACAACAAGTATTTGTATACGGAGCGGCGCATAGTATATCGAGTAGTACAGCATACACGATACACCTCGAAGACGTACATGTTCTACATGAGATTTCCTACGAAATCACTGTCAAAATATAGACGACGGTACTTTACGGCGATGCTCGTCCATTGCGGTGGAGTGTTGGTTGTCATTACTTTTGTTAACTTCGGGGGATGTAGAAGAAAATCCGGGTCCCAAGATTGCTGAATTGTGGCAACGAATTTCAGATAATCATAAAAAATCTGATGAGAAGATAAACGCTATTAGAAAAGAAGTTGCTGAACTTAATGAAAAGTCAGAAAGAATGAACGACCATCTTAACGCCATGCAGGATATGCAAAAGAAAATTGAAAGGTTCGAAAATAAAGTCCAGCAACAAGCAGTACGACTAGTAAATTATGAAAACAGAAGCCGAAGAAATAACCTACACGTTTATGGGCTTCCTGGGGCCAGAAATGAGGCCGAGGCAGATTTGCGCGATGCCATTCTTGATAACATTTTCAGAAGCAAGCTAGGGGTAGACGTTAAATCGGTAGAAAGAATTCATCGCTTAGGTAAACAAACAAAAGGCAAAGCAAGAACAGTAATTATGAAATTTATGTATTACCGTCAGAAGGAGGAGGTAATTCGTAATTGCAAGAAACTAAAAGGTACTTCTTTCATTATCAGTATTGATTACTCAAAAGAAACAGTTGAACTAAAAAACAAACTATGGGAACGTTCAGCGCCAGACCGAGCTAAGGAAGCGAGGGTCTCAAACGTGCATGATAAATAGAAGATAAACGGGCGCGTGTTTGTGTGGGATGATAAAAAAAAAGAACGCCGTCTCTTTCAATACCGGAGTGATAATAACGGTAGCAGAGTTCAAGCGACACCAGTATCGAGTGCGCATGACCGACATGAATACTCTGACTCGAACAGCTCTGCTGGTAGTTAAACAAATCAATCATAGCTACGAATTCTTGTCCAAAATGCTTGTAGCAACGTAAATAAAGTTACATAATTAGAATACCTTTTATTGGTACATAGTCTCCATGATGTATTATCAACTGAAACATGGCTACGTGATGAAATACGCGGTGATTGCATTGTTCCTGCAGGGTACAAGCTTTTCAGATGGAACAGATATTCACGAGGCGGTGGTGCTGCTTTCATTGTTATATGTTCATTCCCAACTTGCATGATACTATGTGATGTTCGCGAAACTGTATGGTGTAAGATTACATTCAACAATAGAGTATACATTATTGGCTCAGTATACAGAACACCTGCGTGTGAGCCTCAGTTTCAGGATTTTTTAAGTGATTTTTAGTGTGACCATGTTAGAGGCAGCACGACGTTGATAATGGCCGGAGACTTCAACTTGCCACACATTTACTGGCAAAATGTTTTGCCGGGTGAAACTGAAACAATTACCCGCGAAAAACTTTTGGAAATGGAATTCTGCCATGGCCTGGAAAGAATTGTGCGTGAACCAACGAGGGTTACAGGTTCGTTGAAGTCAATATTAGACCTCGTGTTCTTGTCCCAAAGCATAACAGACTATGTTTTAAATATTTTGGATGGCATATCTGACCACAAAATGTTGTCTTTAGTCATTAAAACTAGTGCATGCAGTTTAGAGAAATCGTTCCTTCCGGTAAAAGTCAACGACTTCAAAAAAGCAGATGACGCTTTCATCATAGAATTTCTAGAGCTTCACTTTAATGATTTCGAGTGAGCATCACATTTCGAATCTGTGGAGCAATTGTGACAGAGATTTAAGGTCAACGTCGTAACTTGCGTTGATAGCTTTGTCCCTACTGGGCTAAAGAAAACACGTAAACGATATCTCTGGATAACACGCAGCATTACACATTTGAAACGGCGAATTAAGAGATTATTAAAAAGTAAAAAAAAGAGCGGCGGAAGTGGCAGCTATAAAAATCAAGTTGAAAGAAGCCCTTGTGAATTTCCCGAAAAATTCTTTGGCGAAACGTTTTTGAACTTCCTTAATTGTTCGTCATCCAAATTCTGCCGTTACTTCAGTGACAGAAAGGAAAGAATTGAGCAGATTGAACATGAGGTTTGTATCCTGACAAAAGTTGAAGATTAACCTTTACTTTTAATCCATTCTTTCAGTCTGTTTTCACAATAGACCAGGGCGATAAGAGAGGGGCATCCATCAGTAACAATGCAACAACCTCAATGGAACCTATTATTGTCAACCGCGAAGGTGTTTTTCAGTTACTGCTTGAGCTAGATGCGAAGAAAGGAAGTGGTCCGGATAACCTACCAACAGAGTTTCTCAAGAGATACGCAGAATGGGTCTCGTTTTATTTAGAAATAATATATGTGAAATCGGTTGAGACACGATCACTTCCACAATACTGGCGCAATGCAGTTGTAATTCCGATTTTTAAAAACGATAAACGTTTGTTAGTAAACAATTATCGGCCCGTACCTTTGAGGTAGGTTCGCTGTAAAGTTCTGGAACGGCTAATAGCCAAAACATATTCTTACTTTTCTGAATTCTAATCAGCTATTTGCGCAAGCAAACATGGGTTTCGACATGGTCTTTCTACTGTGATACATTTAGGTAAAACACTCCATGATTTCAATAAAAACAGTGACGTCCTTTTGCAGACTGATGTAACTTGGGTCAATTTTAGGAAAGCCCGTGATAAGGTCTCTCAACGTGAATTTTTTCAAGCTTGAAAGATTAGGAATAAGGAAAGAAGTATTAAAATAAATAGATTCCTATTTATCCACACGTTAACAGGCTGTAAAAATTGAAAATTACCCTTCAAGACCACTGGCCGTGTACCCGGGCGTTCCCCAAAGATCTGTTTTAGGACAAATTCTTTTTCTGATATTTCTTAATAATCTATGTTCGATAGTTGAGACTCCTATTAAAATGAAACTTTTTGCAGATGGATGGATGGATAGATGATAAACTTATATTGGGGTCCTGAAGGATTCCACCCCCGTTTTATAGGGGTAGGATCACAGATGACTGCTTGATTTTTTCCCCAGTTACTTGCGAAGGTGACCACATTATTCTGAACAGGCGCTACAGGCATTAGATCAGTGGTTTATAATATGGGCATAATATAAGATCAGTGGTTTATAATAAATACACTATAGCAAGGCGACAATCACGCCTATTCAGTCTAGTGGGCGGGAATCGTCATTAATGTATCACATCTGAAGTCACCCTTTATATATTGCCACGTTCCAAATACCAGAAATTAGTATTGTTCACACGTTGAAATGGCACTCGCATATCGATAACATCTGTTCTAAGGCAAACAAAAACTCTATTTCTTGAAGAAAAAACTGGAACATGCCACCCCGGATGTAAAACTAACTGCTTACAAAACATTCATACGTCCTGTCTTAGAGTATGCTAGTATTGTGTGGTCAACTCACCAGAAGGTGTTGTGGACAAAAATTGAACGAATGCAAAAAATAGCAGTTCGTTTTATATGCAGTAGATACCGACGCACACCCTCAGTCACAGCTTTGTTAAAGTCCTGGGAGCTTGAGTCTTTGAAATATCACAGGCGCAAACATCGCATCGAATTTCTTCTTAAGATTATAAGTGGGCAAACAAACATAAATAAGGATTTATATCTTCAGCCCCCTGGAAGGCGATGTATTCGTCCTAATAATTATAGGGCGATTCAACCTTATTTCACACACACAAATGCTTTCCGCTACTTCTTTATCGCAGATACAATAGACACGTGGAATAGTGTGCAGCGAAAGCAAACAACATATATATATATATATATGAGTTGAAAGATATAAAACAGTTGTGAAAATAAATAAATATTGCTCATACGTATTAGTTTCAGTTATATTATCCAAGGAACATTGTTGTTAAGTGAGCCGCAAGTCACCGTTTGAAACTGAACAACTGCCGACGTGGAGGACACGCCACTCCTTCAGAGAGTTTTAGGAGTCACACCGAATAAAGTGCGCCGTCTGTCTGACTGTAGCGGACAAACTCAGAATATTTACTTGTTAACGAATGCACTGATAACGCAACACGAAGAAGCAGCAAATGCATGTCACGCTATTTCAGGTGGGCAGTTGTTTTGAAGTAGGTAGGTAGCGAATAAAAGTTTCACTATTAAAAAAAAAGGTTTTAACTAGAACCCCCACTAAGATTCAAAAGGAATTGCAATTAAATCTTTCAATGTTAACGAAAATTTTAAATTGCAATTCTAGCTTAGTTTTGGAAGGAAACTAGCACCAAGTTTCTTAATGAAATGCTCAAAGTATTCAAGAAGCGGCGTACGGGGTACAAAATGAATGACAATTTTAATGTTAATTCAAAACGCCTGACAACAATTGTCAGTGGTAGTGGGAAAAAATCAAACCTGGTAAGAATGAGTGGCGATGAAGCGTGACAATGAATAATCGAGAAGCTCGTGTCCGGATGGAAACAAAAAATAAAAACTGAATTTCATGCACATATACAATTCCAATGCGTATGATACCAACATTAGGAATAACCTAAAGTTTCACCTCCAACTGTGCATGGTCTCATTTTACACAATGCTCTAACTCAATATTAATGTGATGTATAACACGTCAGCGACATTTCTTCAGAAAATTTCTGAAGATGAAGCAGCAATGTCTCAAGCGTTCGTGCTTAGATTGAAAGATAGTGGCAAGTTAAGAGATGTAACACTGCGTAAATATGCGAGCAGTTATCTTCGATCGCTCTAAATCACAATAAAGACATCTACCAACATTGATGCATTAGAAAATTCGAGCTCGCTTAATTGTGAACGGTGGTATATAACAGCTCTGAATGGCGGCGAGGTGCATCGTGCACCATACATCTGTTATGAAGGGCTCCGCTTCTACGCCGATAATCGCCTTCGTTGTTGTAGTCTTTCTTCTGTCCGCGATAGAAGATAGAGGTCCATGGGCGTTTGCACTACCCCTTCCTCAACCAAACCCGGGGTTGGCTTCTTCTCTCGGCTTTCGACCACACTTTCCTGGCTCTAATAACCGTTTCCACCTACCCCGCCGGCAGAAACCTTTCCCACAAAATGTCAACATGTTAACCCCGAAACAACGGCGGGACCTACAGAGGCAGCTGTACAATCCCCAAAAATACGGGCCTCACGGCAAATAAGGAAGGCGATGATTCAAAAATTGGCAGCGTGGTGTTCCTTCGATGCGGTATGTTATACTTTTCTTTTTATTTTCTTGCACTATTAAATATATTTAGGAACCTTCATGTTATCTATATACATTACAAGTTGCCACGTCGAAGTTATGTTGGCAAAACAGCTGAAATATGCCAACTGTTTTGATCATATGCAATGGTTTTTGACGCACAGACCATTAGATGGTCAAAGAGCGACAGGAGATATCAAATGTGAAATATGGTAACGTTAGATGCCTGTATAAGGGTTTAAAGTTCCTCACGTTTAATGGTAAGTAAAACGTAGTAGTAATAAAATATTGAGACTGGCGTGACATATGTAGAGTGAGAAGTAATGACGAGTGGTCGTGGTTCTAAAACTAGAGAGTTGCTATGTTCCGAGAGAGCAGCTATTTGCTACAACTCGCGCAACGCTAATGCAAGGTGTGCAGAAGTTGACTCGAATGACTCAACATAAATATATTGCGCTCCTTTTGTTTTTTCTTTATATTTTACTCATTTTGCACGCAAAGCTTTGTTCTATATGGCGGATGCCAGCGCACGGCGCCCATTTTCCTTTTTTCACGCAACGCTTCACCAAACTTCCACAAAGCTTGACACAACGCACCGTAAACATTGTAAGAGGCACATTGAGAATTCACCCGAAACATGTGTAAATGATAATGCATATCACTACTGGGTTTGGAAAACTTGGTAGAGTTGTAGCTTTTGTTTATCTTGAGTTTTTGCCAGTGAAACACAAAAAATATTCTTATAGGCATTATCTTCTTGGTGCACTAAGATCACTGAAAATCTCCAATTGAAACTAAGTAACACGCAAAAAGTGAGTAGGCGTTCTCAAACAAAGCCTTCTGAGTGCGCTTTAAAGTTAGACAAAATTCTCCTGAACGAAGTGATAGTTTTTAAGCAACGAATGCCATGGAAGAAGTCTGGATGTTATGGGAAATAAGGCAAGCAGCTGCTTTAGGATACGCAGCTGTTGTTGTCTTTTATCGTCTGTAGTAATACAATGCAAAATAAAAAAGTATGTGCCATTCTTTTCGGAGAGTCCCCTGACCCTCTTGAAAGGAATCTCTTGCGTAGGGTCACACTACTATTTCTTGGTGAGTCGGGCGACTCTAGCAGGTGACGCTCTTAAGTGGGTGAAATGACACCCAGCAAAGCCTCAATTGACTCTACAGGTATTTTAAGTTACTGATTTGACCAATGGGGTACTTTTGCGTGCCTACTGCAGAAATTAGGGTAGTATTCATTTAGGCATTTGCAACAATAATTGTCGTTGCGCCAAGTGCCTGCAAAAAATAATAGTTCAATATTCACAGTATTGTAATAAAACTCGTCAAAAGGACACAACAGTTTCAGCAGAGTAAAGCAGAAACCACTGAAAAATGGTCTGTGAAATATAGTTAGGCAGATGAAGTATGCCTGATTTAGACACTTGCATGAGTACAGCCAGCCAAAGCGCGTGGCTGTGGTGTGCATATAAACTGCAGAAAACGGCACAATGTTTTCAGGTTTATTCCTTCTGATTATGAGTAGAAACGTCGTCAAGACTGGACGAATCACAACAATGACTTGCCATGTTGCCACTTTCAGTCCGTTACGACCAGCTTGAGCAGCCATGAAAAAGATAACGTGAGAAGAAGAACGCGATATAACGTAAACAAATCAGAATCATGGAAAGAGTTAGCAAAAATTTCACAGTATGTAATTTACACAGACATAATGAAGTTTGGCACCGAAGTTGGGGGAGTGTTAAGCTTCGGCTTTAGGACTTTAACGCGTTAGCGATTGTCTGTTCCTGGTGCATACTTCACACAGTTATAGTGTGTATAATCTTTCCGAACTTGCTATGCACCTGCAAGTGGCGTCAAGGGTGCAGTAACGCGCGTACCTAATGAAGTGGGTGACCGGCTTTCAATTAGGAAGGCATTATTATAATCCCATCTTCTGATGCCCGATGGGAACGTCTGCTTGTACCACGCAGTGTTACGGCAATATTTTATGTTGTATTTTGAAGAATGTATGCAGCACGCGTCTGCTTGTAAAGCATGAAAGTTAGTTTCATTGCATTTCCAAGCACAGCAAGTTATTTTCACTGTGTTGACAAGCAGAAGCGTAGAAGCGTGGTAGAACACCCGCTGGCCACACGAACGACCAGGGTTCGATCTCCACTCGGACACAGAAGGTTGTTGGGTTTGCTTTGTCTGCATCTCTCTCGATTTTTCGGTCATGCAAAGGTGATGATGTTGCACTCGTAACCAACGACGCCGACGCCGGAATTTCTGTGAAACGAGATTTTTAGCACTATCGCGTGAAACAACAAATGTAAACAGGCATGGTAGGCAGCCATGTTTTTTTCGCTGTTCTCACGAAGCTCATAACTTCCAAATAGTAGCTTTTGCAACAGGTCAATTGATGACAAACTTGAAGCAGAAAATGATGTGAGCTTCTTCCACACAACAAACTAAATTGTTTAGACTCCTTTGCGTAAGTGCCACTGACCTCTTTTCCTACATCGTCTTGTCTAACCAAATGAAATGAAGGGCCCACTGCCTCGTCGACAAGGCATTTTCAGAACGACAAGGACAAAACTTCTCTTTACTTTCACATCACCAGTGGTGTGCTGCCATGCCATGTCGACACCTACGTTTCCCCAAGTGTGGCTGGAAGGCTGAGTAAAGAGGCTGGAAAAGTTATCGGGACTTTGGTATAATGAACAATTTTACGGAGTATGATTAATTTCCTTCAAAACACCCTTTGTAGAACACCATTACTCTATTCGCACACCCAACACGTGTGTTTCGTTTTAAATAATTTCACAACAAAAGTGGAGTTTTACCTAAAACAAGGTGAAGACCTTATTTTCGTGTAGGTACTGGCTAGCACCAATGAAAGCGCTTATTTTTCTGAAAGATTGCTCCTAAATTTGCCCTCAGCATAAGCTGCGGCATATTCCGACAACGCAGCCCATCCTGTGGTAGTCAAGGTCATGCCGTGTGTGGTGTCTGACCACGTGTTTCAACGCGACAACGTTAAAAAGCTCCTTTCACAGAAATTCGTGTGTCGGCATCAGTGTACATGTCGGCGTCGGCCTCGTTGGTGGTGAACAAAAAGTCATTACATTGTGCGTGAGCAAAAGCTCTGGAAAGATGTAAATAAACTAGCTAATAAATATTTCCAGGTGCAAGTGAAGATTGAACTAAGGCCGTTTGCGCGCCAAGCCTTTTTAATCAAGGTAATTATTAGAATGCGTACTGAATTAGCACATAGTATTGCAAGAAGTTGCACTGTTGCAGTAATAAAGCGACAATTGTACTACAAGCACTGCATAGAAACTAACTCCAAGGTCCTATAGCCTCTGCCCGGAAGTACAATTGAAGTTACTTTTTCAGCTTGGAAATGCACAGGAATTAACGTAATGTTTTACAAACACACAGCCCGTATGCAGGCTTCACAATATTGTCACGTGCTTGCTCAAAAAAGACGATGGCAGTTGTGAATGTGCCACGAAGGACTACGAAATGAACAAAAGAGAAGAACTCGCATGCGCGTTCTGATTAAAAAAGATCGACCTGCTTCTAGTGTCTCAATCTCTGCGGCAAGACCTCTGTTTTGACGTCGCGACACTGGTAGAGGTGCTGGAGCCTACAACCGGATGCAGGACAGTCTTGCTCGGAACCGTTCACCTAGTCCAGAGACCCAGCCCCTCGTCATGACTCCGGTGCACCGATTCAGTCGGCGCCTACTAGGCCTAAGTCCGGAGTCCGCACCTGTTCCCCCTCTAACCACCATGGCAGCTCCTACCACATCCACGGCTACCCTTACATCACAGACCACTCTTCTCTCCCAGGCGACTCTTGAACATCCTCGCGTTCCTGAAGTTTTCCATGGGGAAGAGTACGAGGATGTCGAGGACTGGCTCGAACAGTTCGAACGGGTCGCTGTTCGACCCGTTCGAACCACTGGAACGAACAGCACAAACTTGGCCGTGCATATTTCTCCCAGAAAGATAGCGCTCGCACGTGGTACGAGAACCACGAGGCTACTTTCCAATCTTGGGAAGATTTCCGTCGAAGCCTCCTCGCCACATTTTCGAACTTGTACCGACGGGATCGCACACAGCAACTGATTGAGGTTCGCGTACAAAAACCCAACGAAACAGCCACCATGTACGCAGAGGGTATGATCCGTCTGTTTCGACGAGCTGACCCTGACATGCCCGAGGCGAAGAAGGTGCGTCACCTAATGCAGGGTGTCAAAGAACCAGTGTTTGAGGGCTTCGTGCGAAATCCACCTACAACTGTAGATGAATTCGTAAGAGAGGCGACTGTCATTGAGCGCGCACTGGGACAACGATACCGACACTTTGACCGCCTGCCGAACCACACGGCAGTAAGTGCTGCAGCTGAGAACACTGCCGTATGTGAAAGTTCCCTGCGACAAATGATTAGGGAAATATTGCGTGAGGAACTTCGGGCCCTCTTCGTCTCTCCTACCCAACCGCCCGTCGCGTCTGTTGCCGAAATCGTCCGCCATGAATTGAGGCAAGCCGTTACACCACCCGCGCCAAATCCTGAGCTACATCCAGCGACCTACGCTGATGCGGTTCGTCGTCCTCCACCGTCATTTGTGGCGACACCCTTCTAGCCACGACCCGCTGCCGTACCTTCGTGGCAACGGGATTCCATGAGACGACCACCAGTTTGCCGAATTGATTTGTGGCGCATGGCCGACCGTCGACCTATATGCTTCCGCTGCGGAGAACCAGGTCACATTGCACGCTATTGCCGTCATAGCGATTCCGGGTTCAGGAACTTTTTTCGTCCCGCTTCTTTCCGCTCTAGAGACCATCGTGCCCATGATGCCGATCAACTGTCGACTGGCCAAGCAATTACACCACGTCGCTGGCGATCTCCATCTCCTGCGCGTCGACGTGACTTACCTCAGAGCTACGCGGACGTCACCAGAGGCCGTTCGCCTAGCCCGCGCTGGGGAAACTAACTGCGGCGAC